TATATATATATATAATGAAGCTCTACTTCTGTATGGAGCACTGTCTTCTTAAAAATAAAAACAAAAATACTACGGAACTCCGGATTATGCACCCGTGTTCTTTTCTATTTTCTGCATACCTGCACACTTATATATATATATATATATATATATATATATATATATATATGATGGGTGCTGTGAAGTATTGTCTCCTATTTATATGATGGATGGTGGGAGAGTAATGTATCCTATATATATATATATATATATATATATATATATATAATCTGTGAAGGTGTACAAAATTAGGGCTAGGAAAATGAACAAATTTAAATATTTTAATATAGATATATGCGCAAATATATTAAAAAATAAAAGGTTATTTCTGAAGATATTGAAAGGACTTTGTATGTTTAGGCTGGAAGTCATTAATTTCATTATCAAAAAAAAAAACTGGAATGTCTTCTCAAACATATATACCCACTGAAATAAAGTATATAATATGAAAGAATGTCAGATTAAAATTTGTTAATTGGTTAAATTATATTCAGAATAAAATCTTGTCCCATTCACATATAACATATAAATATACATAGAGTTGGGCTTTATTTTGTTTCTAAATCTCAAGTAATATCTGTCATTTGCTTTATATATATATATATATATATATATATATACTCAAATCTCTCCTATCAAATTCGTTGTATGAGGGTCAAGCAAATCAGTTCCTAGGAACCGAAAGCCAGACACCAGCACATATATGCTTTGATTATAGTGGTGAAGGTTTTGTGCAGAACCAACCACACTTTTTGAAGGGCTGAATACAGGGACCAGGTGCACTACCTGCCACATAGTCCCCAAACAACTCTCAGCAGGTTTTGAATTTAGAGTTGTCCTTCTCTTAGACCAGTTGCACTCCAAGGCTATAGAACCCAGTCTTTCCTGCTAATTACCCATAGCTGGAGGGAGAAAAAGAGGATTCATACCTTTCCAGGGGTATTAACAGTAGTGAATGTAATGGATTCAACTGGAATTGAACTCGACTCTCTGATTCCTCAATCCAAGCTGCTATCCATTACTCCACCATGCCACCTATCATATATATATATATATATATATATATATATATATATATATATATATATATATATATATATATATATATATATATATATATAATTATTTTATATATTAAATAATATTATTTTAAACATTTTATCTTTGTATATTTGCTCCCTTAAGTTATAATTCAATAAGTGGTTAGCATTTATTTAAGTCTGAAATATTTACTGGTTGTGATTTTCAATGTCTATGCCATTGTCTGTGGATGTATGTATATGTGTATGTAGAGTGTATTCACATTTAACTGTGTGTGTATAAGTGTTGTTTCGTCTGTTTTTTCGTAAAGGGCTGTAGAGATGTTCATGTATTCCCCCACCTCTCCTTTTTTTTTTTTTTGTGTGTGTGTATGTTTGTGTGTGTGTGTGTGTGTGTGTATCTAATTATGTCTGGATGCTTATGTATTATGATCTGATTGTGTTTTTGTTGTGTCACGCGCGAGTTTAAGACCATATTCACAAACTTTAAAATAAAAACGGAAAAGAAAGGGAAAAAGAAAAAAAAATATATATATACATGTATTATCAAATGACCGGATGTATTATAACGTCTTGTCTTGTCGAACGTAATTTCAATGAAGAAATGAATTGAATAAACATATATATTTTTTCTTTTCTCAATAATTTTGTAATTTTTAAACTTAATAGTGATTAAATTTGGATTTTAAAAATTGCCAGTTTTTAATTTTAATATTAAATTTTATCATGTAAATTTATAATTATTAGTTAGTATAAATTATTTTTAATATTACACGTATTTAAAGATCTGAATAGCTATTAGAGCAGGATTTCGTTGTCAAGCTTTTGAATCTTTCTATACTTCGTTTTTGATTGGTTATTCTAGCTTTTGTAACAATGTTTCCCCCTAGTGTAGGATCGTTAATTAATCTGAAACTTTTAAAACCATCTATTTTCTTTTCAACATCATCACTTGATAAGACACAGAGTGTGTTGAAACAAAATAGCTATTTTGTAGTGATTTTATAACATACTTATGTTATAATTTTTTTTATAAAAATAATTATATCTGCTCTACTTTGTATTGAGCACTCTTTTAAGAATAGTAATTGTTGGTTATTTGAATTCATTCCGTGTATACCAATTATATACTTTGATATATATATATATATATATATATATATATATATATATATATCCAATTAAGAGAAAAATAACTCATCCACCTCCACCGCCTGAAGACATACAATCATAGTACTGAAACATGAAAGCTTTTGTGTAGTGATTTCAAAATGTTTTTATTATAATTTCTTATATGGCATCCTGAAGTTTTTGTTCAAACATGAAATAGACTGTCGCCATTCGCTGTTGATCTCTATGTCCACATTGCTTATATTTACGTATGCTCTATCCTGGATATTGAGCACTTTTACCTCATAGACATAGCATACTTTAAAAATATATTTTAGAAGATATATATGAGGGATGGCCCAAAAGCAATTTTTCCTATTTATATAACAAATGCCTTCTGATTTCTTGCTTCCTACTACCTACAATCTGCAAAATTGTAATTGCATCACCAATCCCTGTCTGTTGTCTTCCTGAATCCTCTTCTTTTATTATCCATTCTCTTCACTAAAGTCTTCTCATTCTCTCTTACCCCAGTAATTCCATAGTGGCTATATATATATATATATATATATATATATATATATATATATATATATATATATATTTCAAGAGGATAGAATCCAGGTAGAGCTCAATGTCCGGGACAGAGCAAAAATATAATATAATAGACTCAAACACTGATATTAATATATTTATATTTTTATATATATATATATATATATATACTAATATTTATATTATATGTATAATATATATATATATATACACACAAACAGTCAGTTTCATGTTTGAATACAATATTAGTGAATTTCTTACCCTGGGTTTCATGCCCTTGTAATCGTCAGACAAACTGAGCTCTTTCTAATAAGTACACCACATATATAATATGTAAATAATATATATAGAAATTACTTTTATATATATATATAAAAGACAAAAATAACATATTCTGATTTCTGGTCATCAAATCTGATAAGACATTTTAATTTATTGCTCCTCTTATCCTCAAAAATCCCAATTCATTTTCCTTATACACAGTTTTGTCTTTCATTCTAACCTAAAGACTCTGAACCTAACATACTTTGTTAGCAAAATGCATTGTTGAAAAACTTTTCCACTTTGTTCCATGATCTCCACCTTCTGCTTGTTATAATTTAAAGCATTAAAATGTCTATGAGTTTTTTTTAACTATAAAACTATAAAATATCAAGTAATCAATTGTAAAAAATTGTGCATTTACCTTCTCTTAACCTACCCATATTCCTCTTTCAAAAGTAATCTTCCTCTGGAAATATATAGAAAGCAAAGAGCTGCCCTAGTATTTCTACTTTTGGAAAAATAATGTGCTGGAAGCATTCACAGGAAGTTAGTAAATATTTATAGAAAGACTGCAATTGATGTAAGCACAGTTAGGAACAAGGTTAGAAGAATTAGCAATCTTAGAAAGGAGAAACTGACCTTAGTGAGAGACCCTGTTGTGGTAGGACAGCTGTTGCTGTATATGAGGACAAAGCCAAAAAAGGCTGATGCTCTCATTGCAGCAGAGAGAAGAATTATTATTATAAAACTTTGTGAAAGCTTTTACATCAGTCATGGTAGTCTCTTCAGTTGAGTGCAGTTGTTTGGCTACTCAAAGATCAATGCAAAGTGGGTGTCCAGAATGCTAACAGACTGTGAAAAATCAGAGAGTGGTTGCTGTCCATGATCTTCTGATGGTGTTCTTAGATTTATATCTATTTGGGCCCTTGGTAGAATAACATTTCTCCAATGATTAAGAGGTGAAAGAAATAACTCACACATATCTAAGAAAGCAGTTAAAAAATTCTGGGATACATACCCTCGTTCAAAGACAGAAAACCACAATTGAGAAGTGTTATGGTAATTTACTCACACATGCATAAACTCTCCCAGTTATAAATAGGAGCAGGTACTGCCTTTTGGAGAGGGGAGTTTCCAGCAGTCAGCTCTGACAGTTGGACCAAACATTCTTGCTGTAACACTCTCGTTTGTATATGTTTGTGTTACTGTTTCTGTTAATATATTTATTTAACTCAAGTCCTCTCTTTGTGTCTTTATTTCTGGACCTAACAAGGCCACAAGAAGAGAATAGATTACATTTGCAGTTCTGAAATTTTTACAATCATTTTGTAAGCACTTCTACAATTAAATCAATTTTTTAAGTAAAGTTTTAAATAGAGAATAGGTATTTCTTTTGACCAACCCTCATGAATATGTGTGGGATTGTATGTTTGAATCTGTATACAACTTATAAATAATAATTAATGGTTATAGATTCCTCCTTCTTTATTTCTCTCTGCTTGTGTGTGTATTTTAATGGTTACAATGATGTCTATCTTTCCCGTTATTGTTTCAAACTGAAGAAGAGAATTTGTAGTTATTTGTGCATAATAATATGGTGCAGTATTTAGGTTAATATAGGAGGTTTGGTTTTTAAAAAATATGCTGTTCATTTGAGCTAGTTGCTAAAACTAATTATTAGCAATTTGAATTGGGTTTGCCACCCACATATTAATTCAGTGACCCTCCCAACCTTATTTGTTTTTGTCTTTTTGTTGAGTGTATGTGTATGCCAATTTGTTGTTGTTTCTTTTGAGTTGTAACTAACCAACTGTCTGGGGTTATTTTCATTTAACATTTTAGTTGTTGGGTAAAATGTTAACTGATAAAGAACAATAAAAGAGGAAAGAAAGTTGACAGGAAAAAAAGAGAAAGTAAGAGAAAATAAATGTGTTGCTGTAAGAAAAGAGTGAAGAGAAGTGAGTGAATGAAAAGCAGAGGCATGACAGGAAATTAGAAGGAAAGAAGTGGAGAGGAAGAAAAGAGATAAAGAAAAAAGGGTCTAAAAAAGGATGGGAAAGGAAAGACAGAAACTAAGAAAAGAGTTTGGGAGAAGAAATAAAAGAGAAAAGGGAAGAAATAAAAAAGAACAGGAAAAAGAGGAAAATGCATTAAAAGATTAAAATTCTAAAGAGAGAGAAATAGAAAGACTTATAAAATACATTAAAAAAACAGCAAGAAAAGCTAAAAATGAAACAAAAAAATGGAAACAGAAAATTAAATGAGGGGATAGGAGAAAAGAAAGAAAGAAAGAAAGAATGAATGAATTATGCTGAGGTGTGAATAGTTATCAAAGAAGGAGAAGAAAAACAGTAAGAAAAATAAAGATAAATTGAAAGAGAAAGAAAACTAGACACAGAGAGAATGCAGAAAAAAATCGAGAAACATTAATACAAACAAAAAATATATAAAAAGAGAAAGAAAGAAAGAGAGAACAGGGAAAATGCAATGAAAAAGTAAGAAAAAGAAGCAAAAGATCATTATGATAAAGAAAGAGAGAGAAACAGAAAATAAAAAGTGAAGAAAGTAAAAAAAAAACTGAACTGAGTACAGAGAAAAAGAAAAAAGAAAAAACAGAGGGAGACAGAAAAAAATGTTTGTGAAGGATTGTATATATTTGACACTGTATATTGCAATTCAAAAAAGTCATAAAGGTGTGTCAGATACTACTTCTGTCAAAGTTAGAAACAACTTGCAATTAAATGCCACCCACACACCTCTCTGAAGGAATGTGGATATTGATAAGTATGACCAATTTTGTGTCAGTATGAGAAATTCCACATTAGGATCACACCAAGGTATGATTTTGATACTGAGGTCATTTAACTGACTTCATCACAAAATATTTGTAAACATAAGCGTTATTAAATTGTGACTTATTTAGCTTTCATATTTATTGTTGTCTTTTAACACACACACACACATTCAGAGATAGAAAGAGCCAGACAGAAAGAGATACAAGTAGATGTATTCATACATACACGCATAAACATAGTTACATACATATATTCATATATATATATGAAAAAATATACATACATGCACATATATTTGCATGTACATATAAATATATTTCTTCCTCAGGTGTTATAAATACAATGTCAGTTTTATGTGACAGAGCTATAAGTATATATTAGTGAATATACATAATATCCAATGTCAATAACACAACTCTGAGTTTGATGCAGTTCTTGCAATCTTCAAGTGTGGAGCATATTCTGACCGTTATAGTGTTCACATTCTTGAGGTGATGATTTAGAATTGTGTGTTAAGGCTTGTTTATTTTATTATTGTTGTCTAAAATATTAGAATTATTTGTAATTTATATCATTCAAATTTTTAAGTTCAAAAGGTGTAGAATTTTAAAAAAATAATTTAAAATTAAGTAAACAAAATATCAAGGGGAATAACTCTCTTTTTTGCATAAAATACCATAGTTATAATGATTAAATTAAACTAGTATACAGGGTATAAATATAAAAATAATAGGTTGGAACTATATATCTAATGGGTTTGAAACCAAGCCTTATATTTATAAAGGTGAAATTATATATACACATTATAAATTAATTGAGTACAGTAATATGGGATTATATGGGTGTACAGATATATAAGAAATATTATTAATGTCGGTTCTTAGAATATTAATAGTTGTTGCATGTTATATTAATATTCATGAAACCTATTTTGTAATCTCTTTTAATCGGGGTCAATGTGTTTGAGCAGGTGCTTGGTTTTATGGGTACATGTAGACATCAATTCGGAACTTGTGCTCAGCAAGTTAGGGTTATTTAAGTGTCTTAATATAATAAACTTCTCCAACAAACACAGACATATCTCTTGTTGGGGATTGTGTGGTGAGTTAGAAAGTATCAGATGGTTTGAATGGTAAGAAGGCTAGATAGCTGTGTTCAAAGGTCTTCATCCACAACATAATTGGTGACTCCGACATGATCGGCTCAACCTTAGTGAGCAAGAAATTTCATTCCTCGCGTGCAGGATATCTGATTGGTTGGAATTGACCAATTGGCGAGCTAGTTTTGAGAAGATTAACCAATGAATGCTTGTCACATGATCTGTATGTATGTAATGATAATTACCACAGGGGAAGAGTGCATATTCCCACGGGGTGTAACTGGCAAATGTGGAATCTTTCACACTCTCTTTCCATTGTATGGCTTAGCTTTCACAATTATCTCCCATCTAATGGTTGAGTTTTTATGGTTGTTTTTTAATCTCCAAACATATTTTGAAAGTATTGCACAGTTTTTGTATTTGATATTGCTCAGTATCATTTTGTGGTGTTTACCACCACAAAATGATGCAATTTCCAGCTGTTCTCAGTGGATCCAAAGTAATATTTAACATCATCATCTGAATTGATCCTAGCTCCGTAGATTATGCCTTCACTCATGTACTTGCCATTTAATGGGCAGGTTACATTTTCACGGCAGTTGCATTGACTTTTGATTATTATTTAGTTTTTTGTTTGGGTGCTTGCTTAATACATTATTATTATGTTGGGGTATATAATTATTTTTGTTTAAAATATATATAAATATATAAAGAAAAATTAAAATACATATAAAAATTAAGTGCGACCAGTATAAATAACGTCACCTTGAGTGATTTGAAATTGACTCCAGCTATTGATGTACCACTGAAATTAAACAAAAACGGTTTCATAAACACACAAAAATGAAATCCTTGGAAACAAATGTACATCATTCAAAATTACTGAGCGAGGGGGAACAAAAGATTAAAATGAACTTTGATAAATTTACTGATTATATAAAACAACTCATACAGAAATTTGAAAAAATAATATAAGTTTGATAGACAGAACTTGTCAATATTATTCAATCAAACATGTTTGATATATATATGTGTGTGTTTGTATGTGCATGTAGGTTTATAGATGTATAATAGTATCCAGAACAGAAGTGAGGATGAGATAAAGTGGAAAAATTGTAAATTACACATTTTGACAAGAGTGTCTGCTTTCTTTGACTTCTTCAGGTTAGAATTAAAAAATACTTTGGGATCTCTGAGAATATGTGAGGACCGCAAATCAAATTAAAGTAGATTACTTTATCACCTCCAAAGTCCAGACTCAAGAGAATATCTATTTGCTTGTTTGTTCTATCTATCTATCTATCTATCTATCTATCTATCTATCTATCTATATATATATATATATATATATATAAAGAAATATAGTTTTGAGGTATGCTATATTATACGATAAAGTGCTCAATATCAGAGATAGTGTATCTAAATATAAAAATGAACATTGAAATCAACACTCAGAGGCGAAAAACCGTTTCATGCTAAACACAATCATCAGGCCACAATTGCATTTAGCATGAAACAGTCTGTTGCATCTGAGTGTTGACTTCAATGTTCACCTATATATATTTTAGAGATGTTTCATGGTGTTGTATTTCAAGCCAGTTCACTGAAAGTAGACAGTGTATTTTTTATTACATTTACATACTTGCATATACATGTACATACAAACACACCCACCTAGGCATCTACATATATTTGAGCATTTTTTGTATACTTGTACATATATATATATATATATATATACACACACACACACACACATTATAGACCCTTTTTATGTGTACTTGTACACATATATACATAAAATTATTTACTATATATATATACACCTGTACATGTGTATGTGCCCCCTCATACACACACACACACACACACACACACACACACACACACACACACACATATATATATATAATCATCATCATTATCCTCTTGACTTTTGTAATCATAGGGCAGATTCGAATGCAGAAGCTACACTGACTCTTTTCCAAAACAGTCTATTAACGGCAGCCATCAGTAATTCTGGTACAGTCATACCTGTCCACGTTTTGATATTGTCCAGCCAGTTCTATGTGCATTCTCAATGGTGCCTTCCATGATGGTCTTGCACAGACTTTTATGTCCTGTAATCACAATCATATATATGTGTGTGTGTATGATTTTGTATTTGGGCAGCAATTCCTCTTTTATACCAGTTTCAATAACTGACAAGGTACTATACTTAAAATTTATTTAATTTATCTATGTTCATATAATTTTCTTTTTTTCTAGACATAAATTATGTAGAAATTATTCGAAAGTTCTGTATGCCTGAGTGCTTTTGGCTATACAAGGAGGATTTTATTTTTACTTTTAACTGAATGTATGTATTTTTTATGTATGTATCTGGAGTATATATATATATATATATATATATATATATATATTCTGACTGTGTTTTGAAAATAAAAACATTCTTATAACTCTAGATACATACATAAAAAAAATCCACATATTCAGTTAAAAGTAAAAATAAAAATAAAATCATTTTTGCTAATGGCTAGTTGAAAGTGCTTGGACATACAGAATATTCGGACAATTTCTACATAATTTATGTCCAGAAAAGAAGAAAATTATAAGAACACAAGGAAAATTAAATAAAAAAACTTAACTGCAGTACTTTGTCAGTTATTTTTAATGAAACTGATATATAAATATTACTTACAAACTACTGAGAAGAAATATTTATAAATAATCAGCATGTAATAAATACTTGTCAGATGCACTTTTTCATATCTACAATATTTGTAAAACTGATACTTAAGATCCAAATATTTGCAAAAGATGTAACCTAGTGTTATGTATTCACTTTCAAAATTCAGCTTATTTATCATGCAACTAAAATACTAATATAACCAATTTCCTAATACACTTTTTTTTCTTTAATCATTTCACCCCAAGCAAGGCAATAAAACTACTAAGACACAAGAGTTTACTGAGTGTGATATACACAGACAAAACATCTAAATATCTAATTACCCACATGATCACAGAAAACCTTCATTGAGATAACCGATTCATCTCCTTACTATCACCTAGAAATAAAACAGGCCCTAACTTTTGATTTCCAAAATGCTACTGTAGTAAAAAATGAATACAACCCTTTACAGAGAATATTTTTACCAATATTTATAAAACTGATACTTAAACAATGTAAGATCCAAATATTTGCAAATGTTATAACCTAGTATTACATATTCACTTCCAATGTTTGATATATTTATATTGCAACTAAAATACACTAATAATACCAATTTTTTAATACACGCTTACATTATGCTAATATTTCAAGAATTAATCACAAACACCATGAGGTAAACACAGGATACCCACATAAGAAAATTGATGTATGCACACATACACCATAAAATGCACATTTGGCATCTACACAATTAATGTATTAGGTCAGAGAAATGGTTCATACCTTTTTAAGCAAATTTCAAAGACAATAATTATATGTATATAGATTTATTCAACAATATATATGCCATTTACTTCTACTACCTTTCTACATCTTTCAGACAGCATAATGATCCTATCCTTCTAGAATTTGCCATTTTTCTAAGTGATAAACCATCTAAGTGGTTTTTACAGGCTTCCAGAGAATTGAACTTTCCATTAAGAGAATTTTGTAGGAATCATAAGTGGTAATCCAAAGATGCAATGTCAAGTGTGTATGTCAAGCTGTATCAATTTCTACCAGCTTTGCAAAGAGACACGAGATTAGACATTGTCCTGACAGAAGTAGATACTCTTTTG